GGATAGGAGCAGAGTCAAGAATCATGGCAGAGAAATCTCACTATCAGAGCATACTCCCATAGAGAAGGACAGGGGCTGCGTACTAATCACACGCAGCCCCTGTCCTTCCCGGGAGCTGAGCGATACGGCCATGCACGCCGCACGGAGCTGTACGTGCCGGCCTTTTCTAGTGTGAATGAGGCCTAAGAATCCAGGGACTGACTCTGCCCACCCGGCTTCACCTTTTACTAAACTATCACTGTGGGGTGGACTGACCCTTGAAATTTGGTCCACTATGATAAATGTGAATCATAACATGGAGGCCAAACCGGCACATTCAGTAAGTGCAAAAGGCAATAAGCTGTTATAGCCACAGACTGACGGTTTCATCTTACAGAAGCTGGCGAAAGGTGAATTCTGATTGGCTGGCCCAAATTACTGCCATCTGCCTTCCAGAATAGGCCTGAAAGCCAGGAGGATAATTCATTCGGCAGCCTCCCGATCTTCGGCCAAGACCTAGAACTGAGAGTGCTCCTCGGCAATAAAACTTTATCACCGTAGTGTTATATTTAGTAATTTCTTTAGTGCAACGAACAAGGCCAGTGTTTGCTTGGACCGGTTAATGGGCTGTTTTATTGTGCTCTTCTTTTTGTTGTCAGCACAGCCAGCTAATCTCTCTCTCTCTCTCTCTCTCTCGCTCTCTCTCTCTCTCTCTCTCTCTCTCTAAACCGAGCCCAGGTCAAAGGGAGCCAGAATGTGACATCACTCTGATCCAGGCACCTCTACAGGACAAGTGAGGAAGCTGTCCGTATGGATGGAGCTCCCTCACGACCATAGCCCTAGCCCATCCCACCTCAAGCTGACACTCGGCACCGGGCAGCATATTTTGAATGGCTGTTTGGCTTAAGAGCTGTCTGTGCTGCCAAAAGGGGGGAGGCAGAGGAAGGCACACGGCGACCCACTGAATATGGGATCGCGACCTACTTTTGGGTCACGACCGACCAGTTGAGAAGTTGAACGAAGGGTATAGCCGGATGAATGCCATTCGCCTGGCACTAGTGCCTTTAGATGGTACTGACGAGTATAGGAAATAATTATACATCTGGGGTTGCTAGTGCCATGCAAACGGCATCCACCCAGCTATACGCCAGGTGCAACTTTGATGATATGCCGTTTGTGCAGCACTAGCGTCCCTAGATGGTGCTGACGAGTATAGGAAATCCCGAAACTCATCAGCGCCATCTAGGGGCGTTAGTGCTATGTGAACGGTATCCGCCCAGCTATACGCCGGGTGTAACTTTGATGGTGTAACCGGATGGATGCCATTCGCATGGCGCTAACGCCCCAAGATGGCGCTGACGAGTACAAGAAATATTATACATCTAGGGGCCCTAGAGACGTGCAAAAGGCATCTGTCCAGCTATATGCCAGGTGGAACTTTGATGGTGTAGCCCAGTGGTTCTCAACCTGTGTAACCTCACATTTGTCCTTGGTCATTAAGTCATGACCCAAGTCACACTGCAAGTCACACTGCAATGGAACGCGCAGCATTGCCGTAACCGTGCGTTCCTGTGCAGGCGATCGAAATGTGGGTGGGAGGTGCGTTTGGGGTGCCATTCAAAAGATCCACCAAGTCTCCCTACCTTTCGAGAACCAGAGTGGATGCTCAGCCTGGGCTGCTGTGCTGTGACATCGATATGTGCATTGTGTGTACAGCTCCCTTTGTGTGCCCTGAAGAGGTGCAGGGAGCCAGAATGTGACATCACTCTGATCCAGGCACCTCTACAGGACAAGTGAGGAAGCTGTCCGTATGGATGGAGCTCCCTCACGACCATAGCCCTAGCCCATCCCACCTCAAGCTGACACTCGGCACCGGGCAGCATATTTTGAATGGCTGTTTGGCTTAAGAGCTGGCTGTGCTGCCAAAAGGGGGGAGGCAGAGGAAGGCACACGGCGACCCACTGAATATGGGATCGCGACCTACTTTTGGGTCACGACCGACCAGTTGAGAAGTTGAACGAAGGGTATAGCCGGATGAATGCCATTCGCCTGGCACTAGTGCCCCTAGATGGTGCTAACAAGTATAGACAATTCCTAATCTCACCAGCGCCATCTAAGGGCGGTATTGCCATGTGAATGGTATCCACCTGACTATATGCTGGGCCGAACTTTTATAGATGAGCCCCTTCGATTGTGACCCGACAAAAAGGGCAGGTCTCTTCAAAACCTATTTGGAAATCAGGGGCAACTGGCTGCGATGCCACAGGGGCAATCACAATAGCAGTGGTGGCCAACTTACAAGATATAACAGGCCTCATATGGGGGCCCAGATATCCCCAGGGACCACACCTAATATGTAGTGCTACAGATGCTGCTGACAGACTGCTAGAGATGGTCGCAGACTGGTGACAAGTGCAGTTAAAGGCTGGAGATATGCTGCAGTTGATTGTCTAGGGACATGTTACATAAGTGAGAGTTAGAAATCACTGTCATTACAGCCCCCTAACAAATCAATATCCCAATACTGGCTGCTAGGGTCTGAAGACCGCACACAATAAATACCAAATGGCTGTAGTTTAGACACCAGAGGAATAGAGAGAGTGCAGTGAGACAGAAGGATGTAGCGAGAATGACAGGGTGAACTGGGCCAGCCGTGTCTATGGAAGGAGAGAGAGCGGAGGGGGCAGTGATAGGGGATGCAGTAAGGGATGAAGTGCAGAAGTCCATAGAAGGAGGGAGGCAGGATCTTGCATTGATAGGGATGCAATGAGGCAGCAGTGTCCATGAAAGGATGAGAGGGTGCAATGATACAGATTCAGTGAAGGATGCAGTACAGCAGTGTCCATTGAAGAATGAAAAGAGGCATCATGTGCAGTGATATGGGGTGCATTGAGGGATAGATTACAGCAGTATCCATGAAAGAAAGGAGAGAGGAGTGAACAGTGATGGGGATGCAGTAAGAAATTAACTACAGCAGTGTCCATGGAATGATGGAGACAGAAGAATTCAGCAATTGGGATGCACTGAGTAAAGCAGTGTTAATGGAAGGATGAGAAGGTGCAGTGATACAGATGCAGTGAGGAATGCAGTACAGCAGTGTCCATGAGGGTGCAATGATAGTAATGCAGTGAGGGATGGAATACAGAAGTATCCAGGGAAGGGGGAAGAAAGAAGAGTACATGGATACAGTACAATGCATTGAGGGATGCAGTTCAGCAGTGTCCAGGGAAGGATGAGAAGGTGCAGTGATAGGGATGCAGTGAGGGATGCAGTTCAGCAGTGTCCAGGGAATGATGGGAAGGTGCAGTGATAGGGATGCAGTTCAGCAGTGTCCAGGGAAGGATGAGAAGGTACGGTGATAGGGATGCAGTGAGGGATGCAGTTCAGCAGTGTCCAGGGAAGGATGAGAAGGTGCAGTGATAGGGATGCAGTGAGGAATGCAGTTCAGCAGTGTCCAGGGAAGGATGAGAAGGTGCGGTGATAGGGATGCAGTGAGGGATGCAGTTCAGCAGTGTCCAGGGAAGGATGAGAAGGTGCAGTGATAGGGATGCAGTGAGGGATGCAGTACAGCAGTGTCCAGGGAGGGATGGGAAGGTGCAGTGATAGGGATGCAGTGAGGGATGCAGTTCAGCAGTGTCCAGGGAAGGATGAGAAGGTGCAGTGATAGGGATGCAGTGAGGGATGCAGTTCAGCAGTGTCCAGGGAGGGATGCAGTTCAGCAGTGTCCAGGGAAGGATGAGAAGGTGCGGTGATAGGGATGCAGTGAGGGATGCAGTTCAGCAGTGTCCAGGGAAGGATGGGAAGGTGCAGTGATAGGGATGCAGTGAGGGATGCAGTTCAGCAGTGTCCAGGGAAGGATGAGAAGGTGCGGTGATAGGGATGCAGTGAGGGATGCAGTTCAGCAGTGTCCAGGGAAGGATGGGAAGGTGCAGTGAGGGATGCAGTTCAGCAGTGTCCATACATGAGAAGGTGCAGTGTGCAGGTGTAGTGAGAGACAGAGTGCAGTGGAGTTCATGAAAGGGGGAAATAGAAGGATGCAATGATAGGAATTAATTGAGGGATGGAGTTAAGCAGTTTCCAGGGAAGGATTAGAAGGTGCAGTGTACAGAAGTAGTGAGCGATAGAATAGAATGGAGTCAATGGAAAGGGGCGATAGAAGGATGCAGTGATAGGAATGCATCGAGGGAGTTTAGCAATGTCTAGATAAGTATGAGAAGGTGCAGTGATACAGATGCAGTTAGAGATGTGTACAATAGTGTCAAGGGAAGATAAAAGGATGCAGTGATAAGGATGCAGTGGAGTTTAGCAGTGTTCAGGGAAGGATAAGAAGGGGGAGATAAGGAGGCAGTGTCAGAGATACAATGTGAGATGGAGTTTAGCAGTGTCCAGGGAAGGATGGAAAGGTGCATTGATAGGGATAAGGTGAAAGATGCAGTACAGCAGTGTCCATGGAAGGGGGAGATAAGGATGCAGTGATAAGAATGCATTGAGGGAGTTAAGCAGTTTCCAGGTAGGGATAGAAAGATGCATTGATAGACAGCAGTGTCCATGGAGTGGGGAGACAGAAGGATGCAGTGATAAGGATGCAGTGTGACAGGATTTTGCAGTATTCAGGGAAGGATGAAAAGTTGCAGTGATAAGGATGTGGTGATAGATGCAGCAATGTCCATGGAGTGGGGAGACAGAAGGATGCAATGATAAGGATGCATTCAAGGAGTTTAGCAGTGTCCAGGGAAGGATGAGAAGGTGCAGTGATATGTATGCAGTGAGAGATGCAATACAGCAGTGTCCATGCAAGGTGAGGCAGAAGGATGCAGTGACTGCAGGGATGCAGTGTCCAGGGAAGGATGAGTATGAGGAAGGAAGGATGGATGTGTCTGCTCTGAGTGTCCACCAGGCTACAAGCCATGTCTTGTAATCGGAGCTGGGAGGAGTCAGGCTGACGTGCAGCCTCAATTCAACCCTGCAGCAAGAAAAGAAAGAAGGAGAGAAGGAAAACAATCCGAGCAGCAGAGCAGCAGAGCAGCAGGCGAGCCCCGTGCAGAGCGATGCAGAACTCGGTGTGCGCTGCGCTGCGCTGCAGGTGATCCGATCCCCGGGAGACCCTCCGAGCGGCGGAACCATGTCCAGGTTTAGGAAGGACAAGGAGATAATCGTTGACTATGAGAACCAAGTAAAAGGTGAGTGCAAGGTGTGTACCCTCCCTGCTGCCAGCCTACCCTGCTGTGTGTTCCCACTGCTGCCAACCTACCCTTACCTGCCAGCTGTGCCCTCTCTGCATACCCCCCTCCTGCTTCGGGTCTACCCTATTCTATATGCCACCTGCTGCCAGTGTGCCCTCTTCTGTAAAACGACTGCTACCAATCTACCCTTCGCTGCTTACCTGCCAGTGTGCCTTATTTCTGCATTCACCTGCTTGCTGCCAGTGTGCAATCCTCTATACACCTCTCTGCTCTGTGCACCTACTGTACCTGCTGCCAGTGTGCCCTTTCTGTATTCACTTGTCAGTGTGCCCTCTGTCTGCCTACACTTCTCTGCTACCAGAATGCCCTCTCTGCATAAACCTACCTGCTGCCAGTCTGCCCTGCACTACATGCCGCAAGTGTGCCCCTTTCCTTACACCACCCTGCTGCCAATCAATGCACTACTTACCTCTCTGTTGCAAGTGTCCCCCCCCCCCCCCTTTTCATATGCTTGCGTGCTGCCAATGTGCCCTCCAATGTATAACTGCTTGCCCCCACCCTACCCTACCCTCCGCAAAATACCACCTGCTGCCAGTGTGCCCTCCCCTGTACACAACCTTGCTGCCAAGCATCCATGGTCTACTTATTTCCCGTGTTACTCTTGTATTCACAAGCTACATACCTTCTGCTAGTGTGCCCTCCACTTTACACCCACTGCTGCCACTGTGCTTTGCATTGAATACCCAATTGCTACCAATCTTCCACTCACTACTTACCCCCCTTGCTGCTGCTGCCAGTGTACCCTACAGGCACTAGCCACTGCACTGTTTGTATACTGATATGCACTTGTCTCTGCACTGTGCATACACTTGTCTCTGCGCTGTGTGTAGACTGACATGCACTTGCTACTGCAGTGCATTACCTACAGTGAGTAGGCAGACCACCCAGAATATTGCAGTGGCAGCCTCTCCCTGTCCAGTTGTAGCTCCCCAGGGCCTGGTCTCCCTGCGGCGTGGCCATCTCCATGGCAGGGCATCTGTGTGCTCCGTGCGGTGGCAGGCAGACAAGGGGGAGCAGGCTGCAATGCAGCTGTGCAGCTAATAAGGAGTGTCACTTTTTTCGGCCTGCAGCATCCATCATGCTCACTCACCCAGGAGCAGATTGCTCCCCTGATACAGAACAGAGACACTGCATTGTCTGCTAATAGTCATTAAATGATACACGTGCTATTCAGCTGCTGGCCTGAAATATTTCTCCAGGAGACAGGCCCACACTGAGATATGTAATGTATGGAAACCGTGTGCCTGCAATCCCTCATCCCTCTGCCTCTGGAATTGTTTCCTTGTCTTGGCCCAGCTCCAGGCCCTGAAACTTTCCCTGCCTCCCCATCTGCTCCACCTCTGTGTCTAATCTCCTCCTCACCTTTATTAAAGTCATATGTTGGCAGTTGCACTCTTAGCCCCCCATGCCCTTAGCTCCGAGCAGTCATTTGAACCCTCCTTCCTCTGGAAGTGTTCCTCTTTTAGGTTGGATGTAATGATCGGTATAAATCAATGTACTGCTTAAAGGGGTTTTCCTCTTTCAGAAAAGGGAAAGGCCCTCTACATTGGCGACCGACAGGGGCGTTCCAATCAGAAAACCCAATGGTGTGTTGTTTTAGCGACGGAGAAGATGGCAGTGGCGAAAGTTTTCCACCTTCTAAAAACAAAAAGTCCCTTCAACTACCCAAAAGTCCTTACATTGCTCTTAATTGTACGTTATGGTCCAGCTTGTAAGGTTGAGTTTAAAAAGGTCTTAAAGGAGAACTATGAGGTTAGTGCTTTTCACTCACCTCATAGTTCTAGCCGACCTGTGACAATGAGACTGTCACAGGTCGGCTCAGTAGATCGGGAGGTGAGGGAACACATACCAGGTTCGCTCACCTCTCGATCCTGTCACGGCTCTCTGCCGTGACAGGGGGAGGGCTGGATTCCCCTCTCCCCGCTCCGATCTGCCAGCGCTGACTGGCGGAACGGACGGGGGAGGGGGTGGGTACAGCTGGCTCTGCCTCTAGATAGGCAGAGCCAGCTGTCACTCACGCAGCTGAGCGGATCCCGTCATCTACGTTGGGATCCGCTCCGGCTGCGGCGTCTCAGTATACAGCTCGCAGTATACTGAGCTTAGGGTAACGGGAGGACGCTAGTTTGTGTCCCCCTGGGAGAACTATGGGGAAAAACACTGACCCCATAGTTCTCCTTTAAAAGTGGGTACCTGCTCTGCGTTCATGAGCACCCCCTTAAAATGCAGGCCACAGAGAGTGTATTAAATCAAATGGCTAAGTGAACTTGAGTGCTTTGTGAAATGTAGACTTTATTTTGTTGGATGTCAACATGTTTCCTGCAGCTTTTCCTTATAACGATATGGGCCTGTTGTCTCTCCCCCCCTTTCCTCCTGGATTCTGCCAGGAGTGTGTGTTGGACAGGTGATCCGACAGCCATGCCAACACCGCACACAGGATTGCTGAGCTTATGCTTCACTGAAATTATTACAAATAAAGGAAGTTTGGTGATGTTGCCAATGGCACGGGATCAACATCTATAATAAAAGTAATACTACAGAAAACTCTACTGAAACCGGGCATTTAAAGCTGAGCATGTGATAAACAAAATGCATGAGCAGAGATTACATTTGGTAAATACTGCGTGATTAAATGATCAGTAGATCCAGCTGAAGTACCATCCACAGGGCAGCCATCAGAAATTTTGGGGCCCCTTACACGGATTTAGGCCGGGCACCCCCCGTGCCGCTGGACGCAGGGCTTAGTGACGCGCTGGACGCAGGGCTTAGTGACGTGCTGGACGCGGGGCTTAGTGACGCGCTGGACACGGGACCCACCTGAGAGTGACCCTGCAGAGCCCACCGTAGATGCTGCACAGCCCATCTGAGACTGTCTATGGTGGGCTCTGAAGGGGTCTCAGGTGGGCTGGTCAGGGCTGCATCCCTCCCTCCTTTCCTTCCTTCCCTCCTTCCTTCCTTCCTAGCTCCTCTTACCTGCACACATGGCCTCGTCTGCCGCCAGACCAGCCAGAGGTGACGTCCCGTCACTAACGTGACGTCACTTCCGGCCAGTCCGACATCAGACGAGCAGCGTGGCTGATGGGGCCCTAGCTTGTCTCAAAGCCGCTGCAGCGGCAATGCTGGGGCCCTGCGCTGCTAGGGCCAGGCCTCCGCCTCCTCGCCCTTCACCGTCAGCCGATAGTCATGTAAGGGACCCGGGCGGGCCCCCCAGGCTGCCCGAACCCCTTACATGAGTATCGGCCGTACCCCCCTGATGGCTGCCCTGACCATCCAGATCTTAATTCCCTGTAAAAGTTCAACTTGGCACCGTTCCCTCCCAAGGCATTTAGGCCGGATTCTCTAATTAGATGAATGGCCCACATAGTGGGGCTTGGAATTACTTCTGCAGGAAAAGTCAGAATTTGCACTGAACTTCATCTTCCTTTATCACATGTAGTTTTGAACTTTTCGAAGGTGCTTGTGGACATTGGCTTGATGTGGTTTTCCTGTATGGTAATCATATGTCCAGCTTTGTAACACGTCTACTGTGAGTAAGATTTATTAGGGTTTGCATTTACCTTTTCCTTGCAGTGGTTGACCTTTGTAGGTGTTCATAAATGTGTATTAATGTGTATTTTGCTCAAGAAGTGTTGATGGGCCTTTGAAAGTATAATGGTGGTGTGGCAAGGGAAGTGTCTTTTTGCCTAAATATTATGCCAATAAAGATACACTTTCCAATCTCTGAATGTTGGGGGCGAGTCACTGGAGGACCAGTAGGCAAGACAGCCGTCCTTCAAAAGACAAATCCATTCCATCAAGACTTGTCTGTGTAAACACCCCAATGTTGACCAACTGCAAATGACTTCTCTTTTTCTTGGACAGTTCTTATCAACTTTTCATTTCCTCTTGCCTTCTAAAGACTAAAAAAGAGTTTCAGCACAAAAAACGTGTTAGAGGAACCAATTTTTGAGACTTGTTGGGCAATGAAGATGTCTGCGGTCTTCCGATGGGCCCCCATAGTCTTCTGATGCAATAGGCATGATGTATTAAAACTGGAGAGGAGCAAATTAGCACATTAAAATGTCGGCGAAAATCTGCTGGTTTGTTTCTGGCAGCCACTCCAAGTGTGTGCTCATTGTCCTTTCTCCCCTTTCATCTGAAGCAATAATGTCTAAGGGGTTCAGCAGCAGAGGATAAGACTTTGCAATGTTTGCTGATAAGGTCTTTGTTTTGGCAAGTTAGGATGGATCTTGTGGCTTTCTAGTGGTTGTAAAATTACTCACTCCCACCAACTCTTGGTGCATGTTAGGATTTGTAGTCCCATGACTGGCAGAGATCCCTCTTGGAGTGTGTGTATGTGGAGGGGGGTGTTTGGCAGAGGTCTATATCATTCCATCTCTCTGTGGAGGGTTTTATCTCTGTTGCATCACTCTCTTCATCTCTCCCTCTCTTTCTGTCTCCCTCCTTCCTGCTCTCTCTTGTTCTCTCTCATCTCCCCCTTCATATCTCTACATTATGTATAATCCTGTATCTTGTACATTCCTTATACCCCTGTGTCTCTCTTTACCCCCGATGTCTGTGTTTATAATGTATCATTACAGATATAACGTTGCAGCTGCTCACTATATTCAGATAAAATCCCATTCAGCGTCCCCTCCATCCCCATCTGCAATGTCTGTATATTTGTATATGTGAATACCGCCTGCACTTGTAATACAATATTTTCTGCCACACCCAAGGGCTGCATGTGTTTTTCCAATCTCACAGTACAGACAATCGGAAATAAATTCATTTTCTTGTCTCTCACGAGATGTTTGCTGTGACTGTGACAACTGATTTTCCTCTCGGTATTGTGTGTATATTGTGAGTGACTTCTGTGGTGATGAAGCCTTGAATAGTAACACACAGTTTGATTCATCGAGAAGAAAACATGTTTTCAGGCCTTGCGAAATCCGGCCATTCCATGGCACATAGTAGTAATATTTTTATACAATGTAACAAGCGAGGGAAGAGATAAACAAGGCAAGCGCAGCAGCATGCAGACGTCATTTCTCATTATTTTGCTGTTTGGATTGTTCTGGATTTTTTTTTCTCTGTTTGTATTAATAAACCTTGAACTGTAACCAGTAACTAAACTTCACTATTAGGCCCGGTTCACACTTGGGCGATCCGTGACCGCACAGCAATCGTACACGAAACCGCGCGGATGGCTGCGCGGTCACGGAACTGCCCACTACTGCTAATCACGCTGACAGTGGCATTATTCTCTAATGGCACCCTAGTCGCGCCAGGCAGATTTTCCCACTTCGATTCCACCCGGGCAATCGCGCACCATCGCGGTTGTAACCCTATTGAAATCAATGCGGCCGCACGGTAACTGCTTGCGCCGCCCCGGGACGCGCATCCTGGGATCGCACAAGTCTGCACCAGCCCTAATAGAGAAGTGTTGGCTTTACATTCACTGTTATGACATGTCCGTGTTGTTTTTTAAATATTGGGGATTAGTTATTCTTAAGGCCCCATTCACACCAGGGCGGATGCGTTTCAGCGCGGTTTCCGCACTAATTTTAGAAGGGCGGTTTTGTGCATTTTTAATCGCGTTTCAACGCTGAAACGCAGTAAAAAAAATGCCCAAAAACGCACTGATCAGCGTGTTTCCATTCAAATCTGTATAGAATCCGTGCTGCTTAGCGCGTAAAAAAGGCTCGGAGCATTTCGGTTGGCAGGCAGCTCGGATCACGCGGAGCCGCACGATCGCATGAACGGTCCCCATAGGAATGTATGGGATCGTTCATGTCGGCGGTTCACTGTGTGAACAGGGCCTAAAGGTGTCCAGCATTCAACCCGCAAGGATTATGAATTTAAAGGACTTTTCCCCATAGTTCTCCTTAGGGTAACGGGAGGAGACAAACTAGCGTCCTCCCGTTACCCTAAGCTCAGTATACCGCGAGCTGCGAGCTACTGAGACGCCGCAGCCGGAGCGGATCCCGACATCGATGTCGAGATCTGCCCTGCTGCGTGAGTGACAGCTGGCTCCGCCTATCTAGCGACAGAGCCAGCTGTACCCGCCCCCTCCCCCGTCCGTTCCGCCAGTCAGCTCTGGCGGATCAGAGCGGGGAGGGGGGAATCCAGCCCCTCCCCAGTCACGGCAGAGAGCCGTGACAGGATCGAGAGGTGAGCGAACGCCAGTATCTGTTCGCTCACCTCCTGATCTACTGAGCCAACCTGTGACAGTCTCCTTGTCACAGTTCGGCTAGAACTATGAGGTGAGTACAAATCACTCATCTCATAGTTCTCCTTTAAAAAGTCTCAGCAGACATTATTTTGATCCGAACCTTTATCTTCATCACCTGCCTATCCCTTTAGCTAAAGCTGGCCATACACCTATAGATTATCTGCAGACTTTCTATGGTCAGATGGAAAACGTGCAACACATTCCTCCATCCACACAGTTTAGCGTAGATGGAGGAATCTGTTGCACTTTTTCCATCTGACCAGAGATAATCTATAGGTGTATGGCCAGCCTAAATCCCTGTAGTTCCAAACACCATGCTTCAGGCTTTGCCCTTTGCAGTTGAGCGGGAGTGGGAGGTTGCACAGTATAGACTCACATGACAGCACTCTGCATTCTTGCCAGACGCTCTGTGAAAACCTGATAAATCTGTCTGCAACGGGCTTTATATATCTCAGATAAACTAAATGGATTTTTTTAGAAATCTCTCCACAGTTTAGTTATCTGGGAGACCGTTGTTAGCTTGTCAGTTTTACTTGTAACCTGGGGCTGTTGTTAGGGCAAATGGATGAAGTCTATTAAGGCTGACAGGGAATTCCGGGAACATAGGAAGCTGCACGGGTCAGGAATAATTTATGGATTATTGAGACACTTTCCTGAGCTATCATTGGCTGCTGATATTACATCCACCCCGAGATATACATACAGTACTGTTATTTGCCTCTGAAATTTAGTTAAATATAGATAGATAGATAGATAGATAAGATAGATAAGATAAGATAAGATAGATAGATAGATAAGATAGATAGATAGATAAGATAGATAGATAGATAGATAGATAGATAAGATAGATAGATAGATAAGATAGATAGATAGATAGATAGATAGATAGATAGATAGATAGATAAGATAGATAAGATAGATAGATAAGATAGATAGATAGATAGATAGATAGATAAGATAGATAGATAGATAGATAGATGTGCAGAAACTGATTTTATTGTCATGCTACCCTTGCTGAGTGACCGGCAGTGGAAATAAGCTGCACAGAGCTGGGAGCTGAGGGGCCCAGCAAATTATTATTCAGCCCGGCAGTAAGAAATGTACTATTACATTGTAACATCACAATTTATTTAGTGAACTGCAACTGCATGTCAAGCGCTTTTGGTTTTTTTGGACGGATTTTGGAAGGATTCACTTTTAGCATAGCTACACCCTCTCGATCAGCCTTTCTGAACCTTCAAATCCAATAGGAACCCTGGAAATCATTTCCAGGTCTCAGGGAACGTCTGCTAAAACAATTCATTAGGGGGTCAGGGGGAGAAAATGGCACATATTGTTAGTGCGAAGAATGCCCCCCCTTTAGAATGGTGGTGAAAATGGCCCCCCTTTAGAATGATGGGGAGAATGCCCCCCTTTAGAATGGTGGTGAGAATGCCCCCCTTTAGAATGGTGGGGAGAATGCCCCCCTTTAGAATGGTGGTGAGAATGCTCCCCTTTAGAATGGTGGTTAGAATGCCCCCCTTTAGAATGGTGCTAAGAATGCCCCCCCTTAGGAATGGGGCGGGGATGGCCCCCTTTAAAATGGTTTGGAGAATGC